GGGGGGGAGTTTTAAGCATATTATCCGATATTATTATTAATGAACAATAACCTTTGGTTTGTGTACAGTAAATTAGATATATTCTGTTGATGGACCATGTATTGTTTTGAAAGCAATTTCATTTATTTTCTCATTTCTTCATATTTCACCTAGCTGAGTTAGTGGAAATGTTTATAGTTTTTAATTGGTAAGTTTTGTAAATAAGTTCTTTGTTTCTTCCCAGTTTCTGCTTGTCTTGTGCTCTGCCTGTTGGTTGGGTTAGCTTCAAACCGTGTCACTCCATCCAAAAACAAATGGATATGGTTTAATACGATTTAAATTTACAACCAAAAGCAATGACTATTCAGGTGCTCCGTATTTTTTTCACGTAAATTTCGATACTGCTGACAGCTGGATCATGATCACTGATTTTCAGCATTTGTCTATGCCATCTTCCGACACCTGTGTAATGGTAAGGCTTATTGTCGCTGCATGCAGAAGATGGGAGTTCTATTCCTGTGAGGAGAAGTTATTTTACTGAACATTATCTGTCTGCTTGGATGTTGTGCCCTGTTTTGCACAGATTGTGTTAAACAGGCAGGGTCGAAGCATCGGGTGACCTTAATGATCTAAATAACCGTGTCAACAGGGGCGTAAAATGTATATTTACACTCCACTGTTGTCATCTTGCTTTTTCCTTAAGTTTTAAACGACCAAGACTGCATGTAAATGCTTCCTTGTGAAATTCAACTAATAAGTTACCGTACAGTGTCTGGACTTTACTTTCTCTCTCTCATTCTCTAAACATCTGTTATTCATGTTGTTTATTCATATAATATATGCACCAAAGTGCCATTTCCCATGTTACAACATCTGTGAGATTGCAAGTCCCATTTTAAAGTAATTTGAAAGTAGTGCTGCTGTTTGAATGAAAAACCCAGTATGTGCAAATATGTGGATAAAATCTGGATATACTTTTTCACAGATTTTGTTAAATGAAAATACCCATGTCTTTCTATATCGATTCGGTATCAACTTTTCTATACTCTATATAAGTTCAACAATAAATATGCAAGCAATACTGAGATCCAAAAATTTAATCAGCCTTTCCATGAAGTCTCCCCCCCCCCCCCCCCCTTCCAATTTGTGACCAGCCATGATTTTGTTAGATACTAAGTTTTCAATTCAAACAGCAGAATAACCACATCATGTGTACTTTTGACGTTGTGGATGTTACATGTTTCTATTGTGTACAATTGTTGGGAAGTCGATCCTACGATATAGTGATTTTTTACACATGAATGTCTTCAACTGCGCCGTTATTTTTACACTTCTAGTGGGCGCCAGTTTGTGTATTGTGTGTGCGTCAGTTTGTGTATTGTGTGTGCGTATTCTTGTGAGCAAGCATGCTTGTGTGAATGCATTAGTATCTCAACAGTGTAGAATTACTCCCTACAGCTTTAAAAGGTATTGGTAGTCAGTAATCTTTTTCTTCTCTCTTCTTAGAATCTCCCATATCGTTACAACTTAATTTTAAAAACATTATAATATCTGCATCTAGTGCAGTGAAGGTTTTCTTCAAATTATTCCTTACACCTGCTCGTAAAGTTATATGTAAAAGTGGATAGCTTCATGTAAATAATCACCCCTGGCTTAACTTTAGCCTATTTAAATAAAACATGTCTTCACCTCTATTTTTGTATAAATTTGTCCCTGGTCTTTTTTAACGATTTTTTCTGACTTAAACGTTTTTAAATAGTATTTTTAAAGTAAAGTTCGGCTTGAATTCACAACAAACAATTATCAACTGAAAGCTCATTTACTTGATTTTCTTTATGTCATAGTTTTGAATTCATATACCCATTTTACATGAAGCACGAGGTGTCGATTTATGACAAGGGTTATTTTTGTACTCGCAAATGCGGCTCTAACATACCTTAAAATTACAATTTCAGATACATAAAATTATGTTTTATGAAAGAAGAAAGATGGATCTTTATTTTTTTGTATTATTGGACATAGAAGTCCATTCTGATATACATGAACAATGCTTGTGGGGGGAAAAAACCATCTAAATTAACTCAAAATCTTTGACTTCACTCACCTGCCCAACCTTGTACTAGTATTTTTTAAATTTGAAATAATGTAAGTAGAGATGCATATATATTATATATATAAGACTGAATTTTGACTGGGATAACCGTTGTTTGGAAAAATGGGGGCAGAAAGAATGTGAGATTTGTTGGAATGAAGTGTATGAGTTTCTCTTTGTATGTTGTTCATATTACCCATACGCAAACCTAAGGTCATGTTATTTTAAGATTCCTCTGTCAATGGAGAGATATATGAGATTGCTCTTTGTCTCTGCTTATTCCCCAAGGCCAAAAACATTGACGCTTTTAACCGCAGTGGGGGGTTAATAAATAACCACAGTGGCTTGATCAAAGTCACAGTTCCATAGTTTGGCTTGAGACAGCAGAAGTGACCGGTCATCTGAGAATGGATATGACCTTTGGTTGGTATCACCCACAGCCACCAAACTTCTGACCAATGAATGAACAGATGCACATATTCGTATTTAATATAAGTTTTTGTGATAATAAATATCTGGAGAAATAAAACAAAAGTTGATTTTTAGAACTAGATGTCTCTCTTTTCTGTCTCTCGTCCGACTACATTTGGTGTATTTTGTGTGGCGTTTTAGTTTGCAGCGTGTCAAAATGATGACGGACTATTTTGACCAGTTATTATTAGATCTATATTTACAGCAAGCTCGTGGGCTAGGATCAAGGATCAGCATTTAGCCATTATAAAAATTTTATGTAGGTGCATTTACGCCCCAATCGTAGCAACTTAGATCATTTAGTTAGCGGGCTTCAAACCCTGCTTGTTAGGGCCAGCCCACTCTGAAAAGGGTGTAATGAATGAAAGGCCAAAACACTCGATAAAAATTTCTCTTCCTCAGGAACCAGTCTTGGGTCTCTCACGTACAACAGTGAAGCACCTAACCACTACACCAGACACCAATTCATTTGCCATGAACAGATTGTACATGTAATAACATCATTCACAATAGACAATTCACTTGATTAAACTTCCAACTTCAGATACATCACCCACAGCCATCTTTCTTCTTTCATAGAAGCACATCCAACTACAGCACCTACAATTCACCAACCACTGCACCACACACCTTCCACAAACCCATCAACCATAACTGGTACTCATTTTCATACGAGTCATAATTAGAGACCAAGATAAAAAATTAGCTTTTGTGAGAGTTTAACAAAGCACAGTCAACATAAATGGGTCGTGCCAAAGAGATCTATTTGAGGTGTTACCAGAGAGCAACATACTAAGAAAAGAGGGGATTTTTTTTGTTTTGGTAAGTGTTTTATGCACTCGTGATTGCACTAGGTTATACAACACATCAAGCACTTTCAATTTGGTGGGAATTAATTTTCAACTTTACCCAGGTGGCAGTCAAAGCCTTTTCTTATCAATTTTAGGACCACCAAGGAACCTTTTTAGTTTTTGTAAGAGTTTTACAGCACTTGCAACACAATAAGGTCATAAAAGTGCCGAAGATTAGAGGTGTTACAAGAGAGTAACAAACATAAAAAAGGAGGGTAGATAAAGACGATGGTTTGATAGGAAAGAAGAAGCAAAGCACACCAGAGCACCCACCAACCACCCACAAGGAATCTTTAAAATGCACAACTTGCACACAGGACCTCCCAGATATTTTAGAAGGAGAGATAAGAACGACAGATGTTGGATAGGAAAGAAAGATCGGAGCAAACCACACCAGATCCCCTGCCAAGCACCCACAAAGTTCAAAAATTGAAATTTTGGAGGGATCTTGTAGTTCTTGTAAGAGTTTTACGGCACATGCAACACAATAAGGTCATATAAGTGCCGAAGATTAGAGGTGTCACAAGAAGGAGGGGAGATAAAGACGATAGATTTTTTATAGGAAAGAAGGAGCAAACTACACCAGAGCACCCACCAACCACCCATTTTGTAGGGGGAAAAAAAATAGAGCTACCATAGGGAGACACACGACACACAAAACTTCAAAGGTGTAAAAGTTTCATTTAAATTTATTCCTCACTTGACAAGGATGTGCATTCAGAGAGATGGGGCTAGTACAATAAGCTCAAAGTACAAAAGAACCACAGGCACCACCAACAAAGCACAAAGGCCAACACATCTATCCAGTGTCTCAACAAAGTGGTGTGTAACATTTCATGAAACATCTTTACCGTGAATCAAGACAAACATGAGCAGCACAGTTTACAAAAGAACAATTGAAACAAAAGACAGCACTCCAAGTGGTCCGCTAACACGGCGCGCCCTGGCTAATACGGAATTGCATTGTGGTAGCTACTCTATACTGGCCATTTTCACACTTTTTCAACAAATTCTCAGGAATGTAAAAATACGTTAAGCTACTGGCTTATTTTTGGATAGGGTAAAGATGCCTTTCTCCACTCTATAATACTTTTGACTTCACAAAGTTATTTGTAAAACTTTTTTTTCACAAACTTTAAAATAATTTCTGAAAACAATTTTGCAAGCAGAATGTGACAGAAAATAGCAACAAAAATTAAACATTGAAACTCAAAAAAAGATAACTTGATCTACATACCTATATTTAACTGCATTGCTACAATATTGTCTTGTAAAGCCATCAGAGACCCTTCAATCTAATATTTTATAATAATAAGCTGAGAGAAAAAGGCATGGTTAATGCACTTCCATACTTCGGAAATCTTCTTCACTTTCAGAAAGGAAAATTATTCCATGAAAACTTCAAACAGAAATAATATCACATTACTAAACAGTCGTCTCCAAAAAAAAAATGCGACATCTCAATCCCCATACGTTTCAAGACCAGGGCCCAGTAAATTAAAACAAAATCTTGAGACTGTGATGACACAGTGACGGCCTTCTACTCACAAGGTCAAGGGCACAAGCAAGCAATCCACAGACATTTACACTTCTTCAGGAAGGACCACAATGGACAAACACTCCATGACAATAAAAATGGCAGTATCAATATTATCTATAAAAGTGGAGCGTAAAAAAAATGCACATTCAGGCATGGAAACAGTAAAACTTTAGGTGAAGAATAATGGTGCCAGGGTACAAACATGAAACGGCGTCGACCAGAAACAAAAATCTGATGCATAAAGCTGAATATTTCCATGCCTGGTACTATGGTGAGAAACCCCGACATCTCAATGACAAACACACTAAGAACCACATGCACCCACAGCAGCAAAACATCAAAATCTCATGGAAAAGTATTTGTTTACAACAAAAACAGAACAGCAGAGACTGGAGGAGGGGATCACCAAATACAGCATAGAAAAGAAACTAGAAAATATCTCCGTCATCAGGGGCATCGAGGTCTGTGTACTGTATAAGCTGCCGGGGGTCCGAACGCCGGTACGGGCGAGCCGCTCCACCAAAGTTACTTCTCCTGAAGTTGTCGGGAGGTGGGCGGTTGTCGCGCACAGAAAACGGGCTCTGGTAGGCTGCGGAAAAAACACAGGACAGAGAGGGTCATCACATCTGATCAAGTGTTTGTTTTGTTTGAGTTTAGAGAAGCATAAAAACAACAACTGTCATAATATAATGTGCAAGGAAAAAGAATTGTTCGTTGGTTTGAGTAAAGAGAAGTACACTGACACAATAGTGGTCACTTAGTGCTGAGAAAGTAAGACAGACAGACAGAAACAACAAAGGAAAAGTTAAGAAGTACGACCGCCTAGTGGCGCCCTCCAACCTCCCACACAAAAAAAGGCAGAAAAGACAGAAAGAACAAAGGGAAAGACAAAAAGTGGGGCCTACCAATGGGGGGGGGGGGGTACTTTTTCTACCCGACAGAGCAGTATGTTAGTTTAAAAATGTTAACATCCAACAAGAGCATTAACAAATAAGTTTACAGCTTTTCCATTCAGAGAAAGTTGGACAATACGTTTCAGCAATGGCCCAACACCATTAGAGTCTGAGAAGAGCAGTCCATATTGTAGTTTCCAATGTTTGTAAAGCTATAAAAGGGGTAAAACATGCTAGTGGAGCTATAAAAAAACGAAATAACAGACAAAAAGAGAAAAAGGAATGAATGTCCGTGTCCTCAAACCACCCATACCACAGTATCTTTAAAACTGTAGGAAATTACTGGAATAGCTATAGGGATGAAGATAATGTCAGAATAGCTCATTGTAAGCACAAACTTATCAAAGAACATGTTAAAGTCTGGAGGAAAGTAAAAATAAAAGAGGAAGAAGAAAGGACAGGAGAGGGGAAAAAAAAAAGAAAAGTAAAGAAGGAATGGGAGTAGAGGCACAAAATAAAAATGGAGTCAGTGGAAAAGGGAGAGGAGGAGGAGGAAAAAGAAGTTCAAAGCACATCCCTTCATTTGATAACAGGATCCAATGTACTGTGCGACCCCCATATGCCATTTAAAAGGTATCTCATCAAAATTATGTTTTATCACAACATGGAAAAATAAACCAAACATAAACTTTTGGTTTTAGAATAAATTTCCCAGCATTTGCAACACAATTAGGTCTTATAAGTGCCGAAGATTAGAGGTGATACAAGAGAGTAACATACACAAAAAAGGAGAGATAAAATTTGAAAGAAGGAGCAAACCATACAAGTGCACCTATCAACCACCCACTTATAGACTTTTAACTTAGAATGCTCAAAACTGCAAATCCCAACCATGTTTGTACATTCACTGACGAAGTGATTTACAAAAACAGCGGTGCGTAGAAACCTTGTTCTCCCTTCACACACACACACGTACACACACACACACAAACAAACACAAACACATACTCACTCACCTGCCCCAGCTCCCCCACCGTACAAGGGTGGACGTGACTGAGAGAAGCCTATAGCGCCCCCTGGGGACGTGTAGTTGTTGCCGTAAGGGTCAGCTCTTTGAGGGGGCGCTGCCTGGGGGGAGGCCGCAGGGGCTGCGGGAGGCGGGGGTTTGGGCCGGCTGCTGGGGTGTTCTGGGAGGGCGGGGCGCTTGGGGTCAACCAGGTAGTTGTTGAAGAATTTTACCTGGCGACAAGGACAAAATTGACCCGCGTCTTTAAAAAATATTCCCATGTTAGATCAGGTCTATTTATTAAATATACAAATACAAATACTGTTCACTATTCGAGTTATTGTTTTGTTTTAGGAAGAGTTTTACAGCACTTGCAACACAATAAGGTCATATAAGTGCCAAAGATTGGAGGAGGGGCAGGGAGAGACAGTGAGACAGGGAAAGAAAACAGAGAGACAGAGAAAGTAGCAAGAGAGAGAGAGAGAGAGAGAGAGAGGGAGGGAGGAAGGAAGGAAGAGAGAGAGAGAGAGAGAGAGAGAGAGAGAGAGAGAGAGAGAGAGAGAGAGAGAGAGAGAGAGAGAGAGAGAGAGAGAGAGAGAGAGAGAGAGAGAGAGAGAGAGAGAGAGAGAGAGAGAGAGAGAGAGAGAAATAGCCTGCACAAGCCTGCACACTCACCTCCTTCCTGACCTCGTCCACCTTCTCCCCGTGCTTGTTATAGATATGCTTGCGGACAAACTCGGGCCCCTTGAACTTCTTCCCCGACAGGGGACACAACCACTTGTCCCGCGACAGCTCCTGAGTGTTGGCCTGCACAAACTTTTCCACCTCTGTGGCCAGCCGTCAAGGACAACATAATCATCAATTATTTTTTTTAAGTAGGACCTAGCGGTTTTACGGCGCTCGCAACTGCATAGGTCATATGAGTGCCAGAAGATTAGAGGTGTTACAAGAGAGTAACAAACATAAAAAAAGAAGAAGGGGAGATACGGACAATAGACGTTTGATAGAAAAGAAGGAGCAAACCCCACCAGAGCACCCACCAATCATCAATGATTTGATTTTTAAGAAAAGAATTAAGTTTTAGTGAGCGTTTCACGGCATTCGCATCACAATAAGATCATATTAGGGGTTACAAGAGAGTAACAAACATAATAAAGGAGAGATAAGGACGAAGGATGGACAGGAAAGAAGGAGAAAACCCCACCAGAGCACCCGCAAACCACCCATGCATCGATATCACATTTGGAGTAAAGGAAAAGAAAAACAGATACACAGAGGAAAGAAGAAGTAACTAGCGACACCTTCCAAATACCCGCCAGCTTGTGCTGGGCTGTAGTTTACACCAGTTGTCTGATGTTTGCTTGTTTTGGTACGAGTTTTACAGCACTCAAAGTGCATGTGATCATGAGTGCACTTACACCAGCTGACGTAGCAGCTACGACCATATTTAACAAAAGCATTATTACACCACAACTGTGAAGATATTCTTGACAGTCTTATCTACAAAATAAAAATGTTTCCAAAAAACTAAACGCATTATTTTCCTCACATCAGTAAAAAGACACACACACACACACACACACACACACACACACACACAAACACACCTGTAGAATGTCAGAAAAAAATGTTATGGATGCCTGAAAAGTTTGTGCAACCAAGATCTAACTCAAGGATATACATCAGGGTCCTTCTGTCCCAGCTGGGCCGCTTCTGTGTCAGAGATTTTGAGTGCAGCTTCCATGAAGGGTTTGATCTTCTTCTCAAAGCTGCCCATCCACTCATTCACTGGGGAACAGAGACAAGATTTCATTTAGATTCTAAGTAAATGAGAAATATAAATTTAAAAAATTAATACAATACTGAAAAATCAATAATGCAATGGAATGAGTTGCCAGTGCACTTCACACTGGATTATTTATGCTATTTTTAGACAACCCATGCTGTCTGTTTCAATTTTGTCCTTCATCACGTCGTGTCCACCTTCATAAAGTACACAAAGGAATTGCAAACGACCTTCAATACATGAACGATGGAGGAGTTTTAACAAAATCCCATAACCTCAGACTAAAATCATATTACAGATAAACAAAAACAGTATAAAACTTCAGAATAAAACGTCTTTAACCAACTCAAGTAAGGAGTACTCTTAGAAACACAAGCCCTGGAATCTGGACATTTTACGAGGTCTTTAAAAAATTAAAGTTCACAAGAAATTAACCTCTAACTTATCATTTCACCCAACTACAGTTCATTTCTCTATGAAAACACAACTTATGCAGCATGTCTGTCACCAGAATAACACAACTTCCCCAGCATGCATTCCCTGCTCCGCCCCCTCACACTCACCATCTGTCTGCGTCATCTTGGCGGTGGGTCCTGGGGGTTCCCCACGAGCGTGCATGATGCCGCAGCGGTGGGGCATCTCATCTTCATTGGGGTACTCGTTGGCTGCATAGTAGTCGATGGAGTGCACCAGTCGCAGGTACAGCACCATCTTGTCCAGGGCCTGCGCACAGAGACACAGCAGAGCTCTTCTCAAACTTAAGTTTAGGTGGGGGTTTTGGGGGGGGGTTTTTTGTAAAGGTTTTACGGCGCTCGCAACTGCATACGGTCATTTGAGCGCCAGAAGATTAGAGGTGTTACAAGAGAGCAACAAACATAAAAAAGAAGAAGGGGGGTTAAGGACGATAGATGTTCAATAGAAAAGAAGAAGCAAACCACACCAGAGCACCCGCCAACCACCCACAAGTTTAAGTTTTTTTGCAGAAGCTCGATGCAAACTAATACAGGTGTCCACACTAATCTGACTGTACTGGGAAGCAGAACGCTTCCACAAATCCATATACAAACACTACAGTTCAAGCTATTACACTCCACTATTACACACATCGATGAAACCCAAGGCCCCATCCCTTTAAGATTCTTTTTGCCGATTTAAATATAAAAGTCACATTGGCAGAGAGTAATTAGGCTCTTTCATTGGTGGAGGGAGAGGGGAAAAAAAGTCCATGCCATACTCAACACAGAAGGTCCTGAAATCTTTTTGGTATTCAGAGAGCAAGCGAGTGATAATTCCAATTACGCTCCTCTTTTATCCTCAAGGGAAACTACTCAGGACAAGTCATTAACAGGGAACCCCTTACTGTCATGACCAGAAAAATTGCAATACCAAAGAAGCCCCCCCTCCCCATCCACACACACACACCATCCTTAAGAACTCAAAATTGCCCTCACTTCCTTCAATCGCAAATATCTTGAGTTCTATTCAAGATAGATGGATATTTATTTCATTGAAAGCAAGGCAAATGAACAAGCTATTAAATGATACCAATAACTCCACAAGCCCAAAAATGCCTGATTCCTCCACATTGTGACAAAATGGCGCGGTAGTCAATGTCTAGAACACACCCCCCATGAATAACAAAGCAAGCACAATCACAAAAAAACCAAAGAATGTCATACCAGGCAAAGAGACAAGTCTTTCTCCACTGTAATCTCATGGTTGGCATCTTTCTTGTCATCATCACTCTCTCCTGAAAAACACACGATAAAGAGCTATAGGTTAAACAATGAAATGTCACTAAACTCAATACTTCAATATCCTCCATGAATCAGTCCCAGATGACATGAAGCATGAAAATATCACATGGTCTTCCCACAGCTATTTTAAAGAAAAAAAAGAAAAAGAAAAACGACATTATAGCAAACATTATAGAAGATTTCATCTGTCAAAAAATCCAAACTACACAGAAGGAAGATATTGTTTTTAAAATCCACCACTCTATTGCCACATCATAACGCATTAACAAATCCTTCTCTTTTTTTTCTTTTGAATATCATTAGTTATGTACAAAAATAAAAACGTAAAAACCTCCTTACCTATCAATTCTTCTTCCTCAAAACTGCCCTCCTCCACCAAAAAGTCTGTGATGTTTTTCAGCACAGGGTTTTTTGTGACGAAGCCAAACTGGAGCTGATGAGAGAATAAAGTAGTAAACATTGCAAACAGATCTTTTTCCTTTTTGAAATGACGCTGCCACAACTGAAACAGTGCTAGTGCCACATATGGCTGGCAGCCTCCACAACAGGCTACACTGAGCCAGCCTTTTCAGACCAGCAGTGTTGACATCTTATGCGACAGATGGACGTAATGAAATCAACACAGACAGGTTTGCACAAATCATTTCTACACAAATTACGAATGAGTCTACTGAAACCTGCTGGCTTACAGAAAAAGTTGAGCACAATCTCTGCGGGTCCAAAAGAACCGCCCACCATAGGAAATCAGAACACATAAACAGACTATACTTGCACACATTGCCATTCCTCTAATGCCCTTGGGCTTCCTTCAAATGTATTGTGACTTTCCATGCACCAGTGGTACGGTTAAAACAGGATGACTGCCAACCTGGCTTCTCAGTTTTCCGGATTAGGGGGGGGGAGGGGTGTCATCCATTTTCCAGCGACATGTTACATAACAATGACAGCGGATGCTCCATTTATATATATATGTGTGTGTGTGTGTATATATATATCAAGCGCATATTTAGGTACATATATCCAGTCAACATGTCAGTGTGGCACTGGCGTCTCGTGCGACTTAGGTATTTTCGTCTTTTCTTACTTTATATATTTCCCTCGTCATATTCGCCTGCATATATATATATATAAAAATGAATCTTGTTTTGAGCCTTAGAAAAGGCCTAGAACCAGAATATCGACGGCCATGAACCAGTCTGGGTGTCATGATTCATTTAATAAACGTGAAAGACAGAAATTATTGCTCAAACTCATAGGAGATTAATAACTTGATTAGCACAAGTAGACCTATTCAGTGTGAGAGGTGTAAGAACTGTGGGAGGGCAAGATGCAGTGACACTGAAAATCTGCAAATCTTGAACGCAAAGCTAAAATATAGAGATACAATTTACTGTCACCCATCCAATGAAACATTTAAGTTCAATAACATGCTCACAAGTTATGACAGATCCTGATTCCACACAAGGCCTGCACCAAAGCGCCACTTTACTTTGCAGAGAGCTGTAGTAGTAATCAAAATTCTAAATATTAAAAATTTGCTTCCAAGTTCAGTTTTTTGTCCTCTGGTATTGCGTTCAGTTCTCTCCGAGTCTATCTTTTAAAAAATCAATAATCTCCCCCGTTCCAGAGCCCTGTATTTCGCAGCGCTCAGAACGCGTGCAGGTTCACTGACAGGTCAGAATGGCAAGCCCGACAAGACGCTTGTATAACTTTCTTTTCTTTTCCCCCCCCCCCCCCCCCCCCACAAGTGACAGCACAGTGACGATTGATTTATTTTCATGGCGACACCACATTTGTAAAGCACAACCGGCATGTTACAAATGTTGCATTATCAGACAACTACCAACAAATTTCTGGGTGGTAACGAAAGCGAAAGTAGATCTCGATTTTACCAATCGAGCCTTGGCGTCACACAAACACTTCCCCTTGCCGCCATAGCCACCTGTTCGTATGACACATACTCTCAGACCCGTAAAAGCCAAATAAATATCACAATCGGCAAAAATGAACTTAAAGACGTTATCGATTTGGTTTTTTAAATGTGCGAGAGCTTTTAGGTATTTTCCTGGGTCATTCCTGGGGCAATTTACAGATGTCCTCAAATTCCCTGCGCATTCCCGAGTCTCTGCGATTTTTTTTCAAATCCCTGGGTAATTCCCAGGGCTCCCGGGGCCTGGCAGTCACCCTGTTAAAATCAGTGCTTTCAACATAAAGCAGGAAAGTAAGAAAAAAGGTCCCCAAAACAACTGGACAGTGCACAGCCAATACTTCAGGAGTGTGACAGCCAAAACAGCAGTGGTCTCTCTTCAAGTACGTTTCAGGCAGGACAGTTAGATAGCCTGCCCTGCCCACGGGAAACGGAGCTCAAATCTCAAGATAAAAACCCTGAAGGCTGGATCAACGAACAACAGATTGACTAAAAAAAAGATGGGAAAAGGGTTGGGGGTGTATAATAGCTGCTTTTACCTCTTTCTCATTGTCTTTTTTCTCCTCGCCTTCGTCTTCCCAGAGGCCCCATTTTTTGTCGAGGATCTGAATGATTTTGGCGGCCATCTTGATGTCGTTTCTCATGACCTGTTTGTGCACGGTGAGGCCATTGGCCATACGGATTCTCTGTTTCAACTCTCTGTTCAGTGTGGCTCCAAGCTCACAGTCCCTCAACTAAGAAAAACAGCACAGTTCAACAATCATCCACTTTTGTTAACCAAATACCTTTCTCAAAATAGAGTTACAGTAGTCACTCAATTTAAGATACAACTGTACAATATTTAATCATTTGATAAATTTCAATACCATACATATACAATCCACAAAGTATAACTCACATCAAAATTATATATTAAAGAAAAATATTCCTAATTTTTCCTAATGAACGATAACCACAACAGTGACAACACACATACAGCATCCTTAAGCTGAAACTCAGACAGAAAAAGAGGTAAAACTACCCAAACGCCAAACCAACACATGCATGCACGCACACACACAGAATCTCACATCCACACACACACACACACATACACTCACCCGTATATTGTTGAGAGTCCAACAGACATCTTTGATGTTACATTCCTTGGAGAAGGTGACCCAGCCCCGGCGCAGAAACCTCCTCTCGGGCTGTGGGTCTTGCAGCGCCACTCGAATAAAGCCTGGGTACCTGCGGCACATCTGGCGGGACACAGAGATAGATACATTAACATGACAATATCAACAAAGACTTGATCAACCGGGTCATTCTTTTCTGCCATCCGTGGATACAAAAAAATAAAGGACCATGTTTTTTAGTTCTAGTAGAGGTTTAGTTTTAGTTTTAGTAACTGTTTTACGGCACTTGCAACACAATAAGGTCATATAAGTGCCAAAGATCAGAGGTGTTACAAGAGAGTAACAAACACAAAAAAGAAGGAGATAAAGACGATAGATGTTTGTTAGGAAAGAAGAAGCAAACCACACCAGAGCACCCGCCAACCACCCACAGTAGAGGGTTTACGGCGCTCGTAACTGCAGAAGGTCATATGAGCGCCAGAAGATTAGAGGGGCTACAAGAGAGAAACAAACATAAAAAAGAAGAAGGGGAGATAAGGACGATGGAAGTTTGATAGGAAAGAAGAAGCAAACCACACCAGAGAACCCGCCAACCACCCACAGATCATGTCCGTTTAAGTAAACAAATGCTCTCAGACAAGGAAATAATAATACCAGTGGCACTTTCAACAACACCCCTCCCCCTCCCTGCCAACCACCTACCCTCATTCTCTATGCCATTGCTGAGAACACATATTCATTGCTGAGAACAGACACAAAAGACTACCACCTCAACAGCCATTTAGCAAAGCTTGATGTTCCATTTTTTATTTTTTTTAAAGAAACATATTGACACAAAAACAGACATTTAGTGTTGGGAAATGGCAAGACAGACACAGAAACAACACAGTAAAAAGCAGTTAATCAAACAATAAGAACAACTATGTACAGCAAGATAAGACAGACAAAAAGACACGTTGTCCCAACTCACAGCTTCCACCTCCTGCTTGGTGATGGTGGGGGCCAGGTTACGCAGGAAGATGGAGTTTGTCCTGTGGAGCGGTCGAGGTTTCTCTTCCTCCTTCTCTTCTTTAGCTTTATTGTCTTCCTCCGCACCCTCGGGTTCCTTCTCTGCCCGGTCACCTGCTGCAGAAAAGAAAAGAAATAGTAGGCTTAAGACAAGACACAAAAGAAACTTCATTGATCCTCCTTGAAGGAGAGTCAACAGCTTCTGAGACCCAAAATTCAATTCATATAAATATACATTGCACATCAACATAACCTCAGCTCCCAATTTTTCTCTCTCATATTCGTAGCAAATCTAAACAAAAGCAAACAGTTAACGCCCAGGATAGATCATGACATTAGCAACACCTGAAAGAAACTGCATAAGTAGAAGACACCAGAGAGCCCCCCCCCCCCCCTCACTTCACACATACACATACACAAAGTACACACTCACACACACATACCGTAACACACACACACCAACAGCTATCATCAAATATTAAAAACTCCCACAATTCTTATTCATTTATCTTTTTCACTTATTTAGCAACAGCATATCCTTATAAAAACGATCCCCAAATGGAAAGCCTGGAAAATGATAAGGACAGCAGCTGCATTGAAAAACGGAACTACATAAATTATTAATAACTGGTACTCATGTAGGATTGCTTGACATAAAAACGCCACTGAAGACACAAGCCCACAAGCCCAACCTACCTTCATCCACAGTGCTCTTTGGCTCTGCCTCTGGCTCCACACCAGGGGGGGCTGTTGCATCATCTTCCAGACCTACATAAGATGGGATGAGAAAAATCACAAATACAGGACTCTTTGGCATTAGTCATTATTGGGTTGTTGTTTTATAATCAGACCATTTTCAAGTCCCCCATCAACACTATTTGTGAAGTGTGCTGACTTCTCGGATTTGAGCCCTATGGAAAGAGATACACAATGCTTACAGGTTAAGTTTTTACAATTTGTAAGTATGAAATAACAAAAGGCATTTAGTACTAAATGAATATGGCATCAATAGAAAACCTAGCAATTTGACCCTAGTGTAGATTTTTTGCCAATATCTCCATTTGTGAATTGTGAGAAGTAACTCATTTAGTCAGCACGCCTCACATTTATATCACTTAGAAGGCAGGTGTCCTCCCCCACCTATCAGGGCCAACTCAGGCAGAGAGGGATACAACATCCCAGCAGAAAATCTAAAATATTTGATACAATCCTCCCCACTCGAAAATCGAACTAGGGTCTCCTGTATGCAAAAGCGAAGTACCTAACCACTAAACCACAGGTGCTGGTTAGTTATCACATCAAATTTTGACAACTTTCCAAAAGAAGAAATACATGTAGGCTTGCAAACTCCCAGCCTCAAATCTAAGCATGTATTTTTCGGTTACTGCAGAGACCTATCCTTTCATTTTCCATTCTACAGCACTGCAGTCCTCAACAAAACTGCATTATTGTCACCGACATCTCCCATTTTCATTCTTGTTTTCCTTCCCCATTCAACAACATTGTTGCCATATCCCATATTGTTTTTACTGCTGTCCTTATGGGTATAAAATCAATGCATGGCTGAGAAAGTTCTTCCTTAAGTGGTTGAATTACTTTTTTTGTGCAAATGAAAAGGTTTTTCTTGTGTGTGTGAGGTTTTATTCTCAGTATTCATGTTATCTATGTAAAGCGCTCAAACCTCTATTATTATTATTAAAATCACATAAGTTCCCATTTGTCATCATATATTCCGAATTTCACAGCACCGTTGCCATACCCAGTTTGCAGTACTGATGTCACTGCAGTCATTCAGGAAAACTACCATTTTCTTGTTCCTATGTTATCTTATTGTACATGCAGAAGACGGACATGCCTTCTACTTTTATGTGGGGAGAAATTTTATAGAATATCTCCAGTCTGCTGGGACACTGTACTCCTCTCAGCCTAGACTGGCCCCGACAGGCCGGGTCCAAGTAAGCTGCCTCCAAAATTACCTAAATTATGTTGATAAGAGCATAAAACATTTACCCAACAACCCCAATAAAGATAAGTGAATAAACGCAAAACTGATTTTTCATTTTTACTCCTAATCGAAACAAACATCAACCTAAAAACAAGTAATAATGCCAACCATAAATGTTTTGCAAGGTTATGAAATTAAAGGCATTGTATATTTCTTTTCCTTTTTTGATTGACCAGGCCACACTAGATCTAATTAAAATTGCTTCTGAAAATTCTAGAAGTTCATTTTTCTTACTTAACTTCTGCACCGTATAAAAGAGGTAATAGATGAAGAAATGTCAAAACTTTGCAGCTGCACTATCCAGGGGAAAAAAACCTCTGATACACAGCCAGGCCTAAAAGGCCAGCGTGGAGCGACACATTGTAGTGACTGGTAACATGCACTATCTGGATAAATTGTCTGACTTAAACTATAAAGAGGCTATGTGTAACTCACCAGGCGGCGCGGGTTCTGGGTCTGAGTCAGATTCAGAGCCTGACTCACTATCTGACTCATAGCTGTAGTCAGATTTCTTGCGCATGCTCTTCTTCTTTCGTCGCTGGGCCTGTTTTGCAAAACACAAGGATGTCATTATATTCATGTACACTTTTCCCTATATTTCAGGAATATTCTGTATATATCATTGAAAAAGAACAGTGTCAGTAAAGAGTAAAATACATCCACAGAGATACCGGAACTTCTTTTATACAGTGAAAGGATTGTAAGCAATGACAAATACAACTAAAACTGTACATTCACTACAAGAAGTTAGCTTAACAGTGCACAAATTATTACATATACATACATTTTTGTAAACATACAATAATTAATACCTTCAGAAATCATATACACTCCTCTGGTGTCACTGAAACAAAATAATGGTATTCCAAACTCATAATTTTTACCCCACAGTCACTCATAAGGTCACCAGATAAACGGTCTAAACTTAAACAATAAAGACTAGTCACAGTGAAAAGAAGTTAAAAGCAAAATGGTTAAACCTTGTCAATTAGTAATGACCCTGAGAAAAATTTCAGAGACAAGAAGACTTGGATTTTCACCAGAAGTTAGTTTAAAGCGCAGGCATAATATGTATAGCAAAGTTGCTACCAATACAAGTCATTAAATACCAATGTCTTAAGACAAGGTTGATAATGTATATACCGTTATTTTGTTGCTTTGCTGCTGGGCACATTCACAAAAATATTAAAATAGAAAATGAAGTAGATTGAGCAGAAGACAGGAGGATGCCCATCAACCTCTCCTGTACATATATATGGAAAAAAAAATAACAAAGACAGAGAGAAGGGTAAGACAATCTACCAAACATACCCCCCAAACCACTCGTGAGATGAGGAAATTTGGCAAATTACAACCCCCAATAATAAACCAGTCAACTTCTAAAGAAATCTTGACTTGAGCCACAGTTTAGTCAGCACGTCCCTGTAGTAAGTGCCACGCTGGGCCACGTGAGCCCCATCATGAGAACACCCACCTTAGCCTCAGCTGCAGCAGCCTCCTGCTGCTTCTGGTACTCCATGGCCTTCTTCTTCAACTCCTCCTGCTCCGGGGTAATGGTCATCTCCAGGGTCTGCTGCAGAGGAAGACAGGAACAGGTTTTTGTTTTGATTTAGCAAAGGTTTTACGGCGCTCGCAACTGCATAAGGTCATATGAGCACCAAGGGGGGGATGTCAACAGAGAAGTCCTTACAGGAAATCAGACTTACTCTGTTCACCTCTTCAGCTTCAACAACACAAGGTCTGCTTCCACTTTCAAGGCACCCCGCAAATAGCGGGTCACAAGAGTGTTTAGTTTTAGTCAAGGTTTTGCGACGCTCGCAACTGCATACGGTCATAAGAGCGCCAGAAGATTAGAGGTGTTTACAAGAGAGTAACAAACATAAAAAAGAAGAAGCAGAGATAAAGACGACAGATGTTTCATAGTAAAGAAGAAGCAAACCACACCAGAGCACCTACCAACCACCCACAGACAGGAACAGATTTGTGAGCTCGTCAACACGACAACAACAACAAAAAATGGATACCCGTGACTACCACTTGAACACCAATTTAGTTTCGCTTCGTTCCAGTAAAGTATGTTGACACAACAACCATCACTCAAATCAGGGAAAAAGAAAGACAAACAAATAGAACATGAGGAAAAAAAAGAAGAGGGACCTACGAGTAGCGCCTTCCAGCCACCCACGTTTGAAGAAAAGAGAAGCAGTTTGAGTTTGATGTGATTACAATCATTTAGGAAAATAGAAAGACAGACAAACAGCAAAATCAAAAATAAGAAAATAGCAAGACCTAAAACCCTTTGTTTGTGGCAAAAACAAGCCCATCGACACAATGGTCATTCAAAACTCAGGAAAAGTAAGACAAACAGTAAGACAGTCACTCACATCTTTAGGTTCTGCCTTCTTCTCCTGGTCCTTATCTTTGTCCTCATCAACCTCTTCCTTCTTGTCACTGTGGAAAACAAAGACACTGGAGATAACTAACCACCTGGACAAAAACTTCACATAGCTTGGTTCAAGTAAAGAGTAGAACTGCATGCTAATTTTTATTTTGAGCTAGACAATGGCATGACAAACACAGAAACAACAGAGGTAGAGATACCTAAAGACACACAATAAAAAGCATTTATTTATGAGAAGACAATTTTAATAAAAAAGGAATTTTGATGCATGCACTTGGGTCCACAGTCCACACACAGTTCGTTTTGTAATAGAGGAAGAAACAAAAAATTGCCCTGAACTGTAGTAAGAGCGACATCTTGGTGACCCTCACAATGTAATGTTGAAGCATTTATTTGTGAAACAAAACACCCACATTCATGCCTAAGCACAAATGTTCTCTTTGTGAAGTAAAACACTCAAATCATATCCAAGCCCAAGTACAGATGTTATCCCAATCCTGGTAAAGTAAAACACTTTGACTTTGCATTCATGCCCTAGTACAAATGTTCTCTTTTTAGAGCAAAACACTCAAAATCATGCCCAAGCGTGCTTAGAGTGAGAACCCGCCATACGCAGTTTGGAAAAGTGACATATTATAAGAGAGTCTTACAACAAGCAGTCAGGATGTTCTCCTAGTAAAGTAAAACACACATTGCATTCATGCCCCTACAAAGACCTTAACCCTATCCATACGCCCTGGGGTCATTTTGTACCCCGGGGTTGCATTCTTCACATTTTAGAATACCTCTAGTACGAAGATCTCTTTGAAACTTTCAGTATTTCTTAAAAAATCATTTTGACAGACTGCTATGCAAAGCGTACGGTTCGGATTAACGAGTAAATTTCCTCTTTGGAAAGTGGTGGCACAGAGTTCCCCACGTCATATGGATACAATAGTAAAACATGATGTACGGATAGGATTTCTAAAAACCTTGAAAAGTGAAAAATGCATAAAATATCCGAATAAAATTTAGGACAAAACCCTTTGGGTGGAAATGGTATTGTGGTATTAGTCATAGTCACAGAAGATGTCTGGGTTGTAGAAAATGACTGCCAATAAACTGGTAGTATGTCTTTTCTTGCTTCAGTTTTGTTTAGGGGATTATTTACATATTCATCATTGTTACGCCTTTACTTAAAATTGAATCAAGAGAAGACCCATACATTTCTACTTTCTCTGGTATAACAAAGAAGCCTTAAACTTCACTTCCATTTGACCAACTTCTCTTTTGTTATGTCCAAAAAATTGTTAATTTCATATTCTTACATCTGCCCCTTTTACCCCCAATATGCACGCCAGTCCTAATAATGGCAGCACACAAATAAAGTGTTCTCCACTTAAGTAAAGCTCCCCATTTTTAAATTTTTTAAATAAATTTACCTTGAGAGCTAAATGAGGTACAAATCATTTATCGGCAGGGCAGAAGAACAGAAATGAACAACGCCCAAGATGCAGTCTAAAACATATGAAAAAAAAACCCATTCCCAAGCAAGAGTGATACTAAGTAAATAAATGTACATATGAAGTCTAGAAATCTAATAAATAAGAGGCATACAAAAAAACAAAAACAGAAAAGAATAAAAAGCAAAAGCCAAAGAAATTCTTCAAAACAATAATAAAATTATTCCAATAAGCAGGAAAGAAGAAAAATTAATTTCTACAATATTAAAATCCATTTTATATCATCACTTATGTCTGTGACAAACCAGCACCAAGATGAAAATGTCACAATAATACCGCACTCAGAAGCTGGACGGGGATGTAAATAACCCAACAACAAACCATCACCTTAAATTAAATACCCGTTTTCAAAGTACTGAAATGTTAATGACATATGGAAGTACAGACTGCATTCCCGAAAAAGGCAGAGGTCAAACAGTCAAGAAACAGCCATCACCAGAGTCAAAGTGCTATGAAAGAATTTCTACACCGAAGAAGTGAGAACTAAAAGATAGTCTTCACAGCCAATTAAAACGGACTTTCCATCATAAACAATGGAATCTATATCATCTCTACAAGTCATTCCAGCTGTTATACAGGTACATTTTTAACCAAAGAAACTTTTGTCAATTTCATGAAGCAGAATTAGCCCCTGACGAACTGCATTTCCATAAATACAGAATTAAAAATTGTTGTTAATAAAGTAGTATTTTACATTACATTAATTTGTAAACGATGGGCAAGAGAAAGGATCTTTTGTCTTTGGAAGGAAATATGAAACGTAAAATTGGTGGGGACTCTTGCAATGAGTCAAGCAAGCATGTCATTTGAACCGGCTGTCAGACAATAAGTGAGGGTGAGTACATGGTAGGTAACAGGCACTAGGAGGGTCATACGTTTGATCTGTTGGTTCTTGTTCTGAGTCTGACATGGTCTTGGTGGGGCTGAGAACAGTGGCAGGACATCAAGTGTGTCAACATAACATTCATCAAGGTACTCAGAACAAAGACGGTTAACTATAATGTAATTGTAAAACTAGATCAAAATATTCATTGACACACACACAAAAAAAAATTTAATAGCAGCATAAAAGTTTTACATTATTTCTTTTAAAAGCGGCCTCTATGATCAAACAGTAAACTGTAAACTCAGTTAACTAGTAAAAGTCCAGCGACATCAGGTACGGCTGAAAATTATTTTATTCTTTCATTGAAACAATATAGATCATTTAGTAAGCGAGCTGTTTCAACCATACTAGGGTTAATCCTGGCAATGTGGTACACCAGATCCTTGTAGAAACCTCAATAAAATACCTTTCGTACACAGAAACCAAACTCAAGTCTTATGTGATGCGAGGAAGGCAAAGAGCCTTGCAAATACACCATAGACAACAATAGTGTCGAATAATGTTCGCTCTCGCCAGGGGGTCACAACAGCACTTCCTTTACAAAAGACAAATTTGATCCTAGCTCAAAAACATACATTTGCCGCACCCTTCGAACAAATAATGAGTCATTTTATCATCAAAATGCCTACATACATTCGTTGGTAAAACAAATGTTTTAAAAAATACAAATAAAGCAGTTATTCCTGTTCTAATATACATATTATTTTATTGCTATCACATTACCCCTGTATCTTAGTCGCTATCAAAGGATTGAAAATTTTTGCTGGGGGGGGAGATGCAAGAGAATATCTAACAATGCTAAAGACTCCCCAATGCACACAAAACACAACAGATAATTACTTTGAGTCACTTATTTCTCCGTCTTCATCATCAGACTTTTTCTTGTCACTGAAATCAAAATCAGAAATGACAACAAACATCACCATGAAATCAAAGCATCCAAATCAGAAAGAAAAGAACACCTGGGCCAAATTAAAAACAAGACAAGTATGAACTGCAGCAGCCGCGTACACACTGCGGTACAAAAAGATACCCAAAATACACCTGAACTGGAGTCAAACACACAAGACTCAACTTGCAAACAAAGAAACAAGTAACACAGATTAAAGCAAACCACTCCACTTTTACAAAAGCATCGTATTCATCATAGCTTCCCAGCTCAACTATTGAAATCATGAAAATTTCTCTTACACTTTAAAGGAACCATATTCATTTTAGTTTGTACTTTGATCAGCCATCAGTAATCAAAGCGATGCCCACATTTAAGTTTATAAAAAGGTTAATGTAAAGATATAGATTTTATGACAGCAAGGATAAGATCAACTTTATTAATCATCCACTGGTAGAAATTAATATTGGTACCCTGATTGAGAAGAGACTGTACACTCAGCACAGACAACACAGAGCTAACACAAAATGGTAGCACAAGGTGGAACTGACCATGGTTTTACACTCTGATAAAAAAAGGTATTATCAGAACACAATCAGCATAAACTTAATTGTACACATCAAAGGAAACAAAAAAGACAATGCTGACCAAATGGCAATGGGAGCAAATCAAATACTGTATACAAGATGCGCCACTCCTTGAGAAAGTGTTCTCGACAACTTACATGTTTTAATATAGATGTCTGGGACAAGCTTCATTTCTCAAAAAGATATTTTTTTAGAACCACCTTTGTTCCTTTTTTCCCATTTATAAAATAACCTTTTTCCTATACACAGCAACCAGTGCTCTTTTTAAAATCATATGGCACCACCTACAGAGCTTAGAATATTTTGTATTGTACTCAAACTGATAAAAAGCAACCCATCTCGTCAAACATTCGTTGTTTTTCGCTTTAAATTCTTTTGCAAGCTGCAGCTCGGTCTAAAAATACTTAAGTATTTCTGTACACCACCAACACAGCTTAGAATACTTTGTTTTGTACTTAGATCGATAAATACCAATCCTTCTCATCAAACATTCACTGATTTTTTTCTCTTCAATTCTTGTGCAAGCCGCATCTCTGTCTAAAAATACTTAAGTATTTTTGTACACGCATCGACCCCAAGGCAGAAGTTTTGTCTTGTTTCTAAAATTAAGAAGTGACCCATCTTATACAACAATCTTCGAGCATACATAACATAACAATAATATAAGCAAAGAAAGCCATCTTACGTTTTGATGGGAGAGGTGACCGTCTCCGAGTTCTGACGCGACCGTTCTCCTGGCTCCAGGAGCGGGTTGTCCAGTATGGTCAAATCCAGATCATTTCCTCCCTCTAGGAGAATCACAGCTGAAAAGAAATGACACGTAACCACATGAGCCTGACTAAGGAACAGAAACGAATTTCTCCCTCTACCACAAACACACCCATATTGTAAGCAAAAGGAAAAGTGTACAGCCTTGCAATTAGCTTAGATGAGATACAAGGTCACAAACGAGCAGCCATAGTACAAAATCCCACACAATTAGGATTTTTTTTTGGGGGGAGGGCCTTTTTCCACTGACACTCAAGTGACAGCTTATACACATTACTTGTCTCCACCTAGCAGTATCCCAATCACACTCTCCCATGGATATGCTCAAAAAGTTGAGTCAGCAGTCATTGTCTTCATTTACATACCACATACCAGTCACAGGATGGCTGGTCGTTAAGGTGTTAAAGAAAAGGCCAGATCTTCCTATGAAAGAGTCTGCAACATGCACAATTTCACTACTGCCAAAGAAATTAAACTTGATTTTGACAATAGACTTTGGCACATTGCATAAATTTAAAATACATAGTAAAAACAAGCGTCCTTATATCAGTGATGTTAATGACAAGAAGTGAAAAAGGAGGAAAATCATCGATGCCATACCCAAACTAGGGAGGAATCAGAAGGTATTAGAAACAAAATTTTCAAAGTAGCTGAATGCCAACTTTATCTGTTCCATATGAAAGGCCTACGTCTCCTGAGAATCTTAGTACCATTCTTTTACCTGTGTGTCAACTTTAAAGAAAAAGGCAGCTGTTTTAAATATTATAAAATAATGCTAAAGTCGCTAACTGACTGCAATCCCATGTTTGACAGATAAAAAAGTACCATATTCACCAAACATTTCCACATTAACAAAGTACAATCACTATAATATAGATATCATGAAGCCTAATTTTTTTCAAGACTAAGATAATTACAAATCAGTATTTTATCGCCTCAAACACAATGATCTGTCGTTATTTCGACAAAAACACCAAGCGTTGACCTAGCCAGCACTGCACCAGCCCCAGCCGCGAGCGAATCTGCTCTATACTGTAGTGTACAGAGTGCTCCCCGCCTGGTAGAGGAGGGCAAAACCCGGATAAATATCCGGATAATCGGATAATCCTCAATAAGTACATTATCCGAATTCAGACTCCTAATTCTCTCTCCTGACCAGTTTGGCGAATTGGGAGCACCCATTTGTTGGAGGGGTGCTAACTCGTTTGTCAAAGTGGTTTTAACCCATTTGTCTAATCGGTTCATAACATTATTTACCAAAGAGCCGCACTAACATATTATCCGGATTTTTCCTATAGCGACTCATTGCCCAGCCCTACCGCCTGGGGTGTCGCATGCTTTCCGAGTTTGACGGAAGAATTGATGCAAAATAATTTTACGCCGATGAATTTATTTTAATAGAAAATTAACTGATCTTTCTACTAGTACCTTTTTCGGGCCGGTAAATGATCCTCGAATACATCGACGGTATTTTTAAAGGCTTTCTATTTAAACGCCAAAGGCCAAATATATACCACGGGAAAGCCCTTCAAAGCTCTATAGTTCTCCCCCAATGAAAAGACAGTATATAATCATCAATCTTTCCGCAAAGCATTCACATGCATGGTTGTCAATTTTTGAACCGGCCAACTATGCATTCCGACCGTGAGGGGCTTCAGTTTCCATGGCGAGATGACATGATTGCTCGTGGAATTAAGAATTCGCGCTCGTTGAATTACATTTTCGCATACATCGGCGCCCCGACTTTCGTCAGACTCGGGAGGACGCCAGATCGAGGAGAAATTTCCTCGGAAGGCTCAAAACCCCGGAATTCCTCTGATCGGAGGATGATTAGCATCACTGATTATATAATTGCAAAACCCACTTTTCAGCATTCAGATATTTCTGTGAAGGGCATATCTGTATAAAAAAATACATATTATTTTTTTAAACGGCAGGACCATTCTATCCCTTACACCTTCAAGGCACACAAGAGATGAATGTAACATGACCCTTCCATAAAAAAAATGTTTTTTTAAATCCCATACCAGCATCCATAATCTTGATGAGAGAGTCAGTACAGTCAATGTCCACGCTGATATCCTCAAAGAACTTCTTCTCCCTCAGAGCCTCAAACACTTTCCGTCGCGACTCCAGTGCAGCTTTAACCTCCACCTGCCGTTTGTCGCACTCCTCTGGGTGGTACTTGGACTTAAACCTGAACCATGTGCGTTGTGGTGACAGGAGGGGCAAGGGGGTCACGTTGATGAAGAAGAGAAAAAGAAAGAAAACAAAAATGTTGAACCCACTATCCTTTGAAAGCGATTGAACACAAATGAACACATGGTCATAGTGCAAAACTATCTCAGGCCGAGACTAAAGAACAATATTGACCAAACCCTTTCAGAGAATTGAAACTATCATTGAGTACAGTTTTTCTTGCCTTCAGTTATTGTGCTTTCTAATTCAGTGAAACAAAATAAGCATTTTGATACATTTACCTTGAATCAAAACTAACAAACAATTATTATCTGACTTTACATTTAATTTTGGCATGGATAATTTCATTTCACGAAAACCAAAAAAACAATGAGCGATGCAAAAACTACAGGATTTTGCAACCCTAAAATGAAAGTTGAGATGTATTAGGGAGGTCTACCTCACTGACTTAGACAAAAAGAGAGGAGGATGCTGAAGACAGTCGAGGGATAAAGCGATGATGAGATAATGACGAAAGGGACAAAACACACACACACACATACACACAACGTAGTGGACAAACCATGTGAGGCAATATCTCCAGCCTTCTCAAGAGTTGCTCTCACACAAGGTGGCACCTGCGATTCGCTTTTAAAAGCGCAGGCCCAGGTAGAAAAACATTGCTCACACAATAGTGATCGGTAACCCACACAGAAATAAACGCAACTTTTTCCTGTCTTGAGAGGAAGCTCACCATCACAGATTCAACATCCAATGCCGAATTTATTAAATTTTTTCTCTTCTCGCGGTTCTCCCTAGGCTAAACCTAACACTTGAAACACACTAAACACTGCATTGTGCGCAGTGTGCCCTAACTCTACATGCGTGCACAGCGAAGAAAGAAGCTCTCTATTCCATTCTGAGGTTCCCATGAGGGAACCAGGGTCATCTTGACTGTTGAGAGAAGACGTGGATTAAAGCATACATACTACTACACAAGGTTGGGACAAGCCTAAAGATCGCCAAATCCTGGAACTAGAGTAATTAACACCACCAAAAAAAAAAAAAAAGCAAAAAAAACCCACAAAAAAACACCACCACACAAATTTCATCAAGAATCATTTTTTAAGAAAAGGCAAATCAAATAATTATTACTGAGTCACTTCACCTGAAAGCCTTTGCATACTATCAAACCGAATATTTTTAAAAAAAATTAATTTATACCTTTGTAATAACCTTAAACCACATTTAAAAAAAAAAAATCATTGTAACAACAGTACATATGAACATTACTAGCAACATTTGACGTGAGGAAACTATATAAGATAGAGTTTCAAAAAAGTTTTCGCCTCATTCCTTCTAACTGTAGGTTCGGGTTGGGGTTTTTGGCAACCCTCAGGGTAGAACCCCACAAATTCTTCCAGTGGTTCAAGACGTGAATACCACTAAAATTAACAGAAATCTCTGTGCTACTACAACTCAGATGTTTGGTCATATCTGACTAGTGTTGTACAACCCCAGGGGGTAGTCTGAAGGCCCCTTTGAGTTACGACGACAGTTTTGAATCACGAAGTTGGGGAAATGGGGGCAGCTGTAAGAACCAAAACATGAACATCCCAATAACAATAAACCACCTCTGTCAGAGGTGCCTCCATCGATAAAACGTACACTATTTAAGAGGCAGACTGCTCCGAACCTGCCAGTAAGTGCCAACCCCAGCTGAAACTACAGGACAATACAACATTTGATCAGAAAGATGGACATACCCGATAAAACATTTTCTGTAAAGGGGAATCAAACTCGTATCCTTAGACCACACAAGCTACAGCACGGACAAAGGCCTCTGTCACAAGTCCAAACTGGTCTGAAATTCCCCTACACCACCACCATCACAACCCTCCTCCTCACTACAACACATACTTGCATGTGTGGTGAGCAAACATCAACAACACAACCCACCACACTCAACAAGCAGAATACAACCAGACCTGCACTTTTCAAAACATACACACACACACACCATAAATAAGAAAGTAACTACTACACAGCCCATCCCATAAACAAATACCATACAGTCCAACTCTCTGCTTACTACATATAACCTCCTGGTACACCCCTACGGCCCATCCAGCCAGTCTCACAGACGCTGTGAGAGTGCAGCAAGCACAGACACACACACACCACACTCACCATTCCTCCTCCTTGTGGGCCAGGAAGAATTCGTTGATCTGCTGACGCCGAAAGTCCAACTTGTAGTCTTCAAAGAGGCGGATGGCATCCTCTTGCGAGATTGTGTCCTCCTGCTTGTTCAGGAACTGCTTGAAGGTCATTAGCGGGGGCTGGGTCGGGTGTTCAGGGTCACTGGGGGAGGGGCGGCACCGATAAATACAACCGGATGGAATCACAGCAGAATTATCTTGCATAAACCCCAATAATCCTCTGAACCTGTATGGCCAGTACAGTATGCAAACCTGAGATGCATTTCTCAGCATCTCATAGGGCCAATAAACCAGCCCAGAGCGTATTTCTCAGCAGTCTAAAAGGCCTGTTCACCTTAGACTAGCCATGTTCAAGAAGTTATGGGATGGCAGTTTTTGGAAAACGTCAAGACCGAGGGATAATTGGATTGAAAAAGAAATTCTGGAAAAACTAAAATGCAGCTATCATATGTGAAACCATAGTTTAAGGAGAGAGAAGTACATCACTTTGATAACCAGCCTCTTGTACCGTGGAAGAAAGAAACACAGGACTAAAACAAGAGGGGTGAACAAAAGAAATAGAACCTATCAATGGCCCTCTCCAACCACCTACTTGAGGAACTTGATCAATGAAATAACAAAAATTTCATTTAATCATAACACAACAGCAAAAAAACATGTAAGTGAATTACGGAATGTTTGAGTGAAAGAGGAGTAAGTTGAAACAGTCAATTCTAGTAGGGGGGAAAAGTAAGGAAAAGAGACAGAAGCATCAGAACAACAGAAAAGAGCCTAAAACTGGTGCCCACTCCTGCAAAGAGAGTTCAGAATTACCTCAATTTCTCAGAATCAAAAATTTAAATAATGAGGCCTCTTTAGTACATAGTCAAAACTTTATGGTGGGCCACTAGTTCAGGGAGTGGCTCACAGCAGTTGGAAGACAAGGGGAAGAAGGAATAGAAAAAAAAGGAAAAAGCGAGCAGACAAAAGAGGAGGCAAACAAGCAGATAAATATGAAAAAAGAAGAGGAGGAAGAGGAGATGACGAAAAGGAGAAAGAACACCTTCCTGAGAACAGCACAAGATACAAGACTTACATGGCATCTCTGCGCTCGGGGAACCCCCCACGGTCGGGTGGGCCACTGCTGACCTCCATGTTTCTGGGCGTCCAGCCAGCACGGTCAGCTCCCGGAGGGCCGTTGCTCACTTGGAAAGGACTCTCATACATGCCGGAATAACCCCCCTCATCCCTGAACACATGGAAAGGAAAAAGAAAGTAAGAAAATGGAAGGAATGAAGAGGTGCTGAAAATCTCATAAAAAGATTACAATTTCTTTAAAACCTACTCTAAGGTATCGAATAAGGGGGGTGGACAAGGGGTAAAAAATCAATAAACTAATAAACGGGGTGGGGGGGGGGGGGAGGTGCGCACATTCAACCTCATACCCCTGTACTATTAGGAACCAAACCGTTATATTTCTCCTTCAGTGAATAAAAGAACAAGAGATCATGAAATTTTAGCAATTTTAGAAAGTTACTGTTACATCTTTTCCCATTTAGGAAAAAACCAGTTTCATTACAAAATATAAACCAATCTACAAAAGTCTTTTAAATGTACAGAAAATGGAGGTAGCCATCCCGGTACCGGTACTAATACTGAGGGTAATTTGCCATTTACAAAACAAACAAAAAAGAAGTTTCATTCTGATATCTAGGTTCAAGATATAATGTTTCACATGATCATCAGTGGTGGCAAGCTGGAAAATAATAAATGGGGGGTATGGAATAAGGAGCGGCGACGCAAAACAATTGAAAATTAATTTTTTTAAAAGGGGGGAGCAGGGCATGCTGCATTCATCAACCTTCATGACATCTAAAAAATTACATCAACGTTTTCTGGCAGAATATAGCGATATCTAAAAAGTAAAGTGTTGACCAAAGTCAATCATTTGGTCCACACTAGTCAGAAAAAAAGGGATTTACGGAAAACCAGTTGGAAGTATTAGGAAACATAAAAATTCTGACACAACAACCCTAGCTAACAAAAAACAACAGGATGCTGCAGAGTGGCCACGAGCAATGGCATGGTTGTGAACTTGTTCTATATTGTTGTAATAGTGTGTATTTATGTATGATGTATTTATGTATGTATGTATTTATTTATAATTATATATTTATGTGTGTATGTTTGCCATTGTAAACTAAATTGCCCTTCTGGGATCAATAAAAGTGTTAATTTATATTTACTTATTTATTTTATTATTAAATACAAGCTTTTTTAAAATCATAAGCTTTTGTTCCCATCTCCACTTGTGCACGTACAACACAGGGGAGGACCTGCTCAACACTTCTACAACAGACCTAGTCTATAAAAATCTTCAATATGACCAGAATTTCAACAACAACACACAGTTTCCAGCACTGGGCAATGACAAGAAGCTCAGACATTGTGTCACAGAACCTACTGACAGCACACTTTTTAATTGGAAACAGAAGACAAATAACTTAATGGTACAAATACCTTATCACTAGAGAAAAAACAAACACTCACCAATCCCTGCGCATTCTCTTGGCTGGGTGGGGGCCTCCGTCAAAGCGGCCAGGGCTGAAGCGATCGCGCCGTCTGTCGTCGTACTGTCGAGAGTACATGTCACGTCGGTCCCGCATGTTGGCACCCCGACCCGACCACATATCCCGCGACCTCATTCCACCTCCCCTGGGAGAAACACGGAAAGATGCAAGAAACTGCCCTTTTCAGACTGCTTTAGTAAATTTTTTAAAACCCACTCTAGGTGCCGTTATTTTGTGAGCAGCTACTGAAAAAAAAAAAGTTCAATCCCGCTGTGCTGAAAATCAGAAAGGGTTATTTTTTTTCATACCTGCCACCAAAATGAATTTACATTTTTGAGTTGTCATCGCCATCTCTAGTGTAATGGCTAGGCTCTCCACCTTGGAACACAAGAGACATGACTTCAATTTCAATTTGCAGCTTAATTTTCTACTGAGTTTCTCAAAATTTCTGCAGGATAAAAATATTACACCAAGTTTGGGTTGGCCCTGAGAGGCAGAAATGAAGCAGTCTATCACATCACCCTAAACTAGCCAAAATGTACCAAAAAGGGTCATCATCATCATTTGTTTGTGAAACAGGAACACAGACAAATGAAGAGACAGGGCCAGCTCAAGACGTCTAGCATCATCAAAGGCAAATTGACCCCATGACTATCGAGCACGGCATACCACAACTTGTTTGTTAATCTCCTGTGTCTACCACCTTTACCCAAAAGCCACTGCAGTCTACTGCTTGTCTGAACGTTTGACTTAACACACAAAGATATTTTAAAAAATATGTAAACAAACAATAACACCTCCAGCAAGTTACAAAAAGTGATATTCCCAAGTTTCTATTAGCACCAGCATACTGACACAATAAGCAACCGTTTTGAGTCGCGAAAAAGCAATACAGACAGACAGAATATTATAAAGGGAAAGAAAAACTAATTCTTTTTTCAAATTGATCCCAGATCATTCCAAACTGGCATTTGGATGAGGATGTTCAAGTAGTTTAGTTTTAGTAGATGTTTTACGGTGCTCGCACCTACATATAAGGTCATATGGGCGTCAGAAGATTAGGTGTTGCAAGAGAGTAACAAACATTTTAAAAAAGAAGAAGGGGAGATAAGGACAATAGATGTTCGATAGGAAAGAAGAAGCAAACCACACCAGAGCACCCGCCAACCACCCACAGTTCAAGTAGACATCTACAACTCACCACAAACAAAAAGTCATCTTGAGAATGGAACACAAGACACAAAAATACCCACATGAGACAAAATCAAAGATGCCAGTGACAATTCATGTATATCTAGTACAGTTGTGCTTAGAGTTAAACACAACCCTACAGGACCCTACAATTACTGTATGGCAAACGTAAAATGACAGAAGTTAAAGTCCACATCCGAGAAAACTGGGCTGAGTGGGTGCAGATCCTTGGAAGCTTACCAAATTTCCAAAGTTAGAGGTTCCCTCCCCCCCTCCCCCCCACAAAAAATTCCAAAGTTTGAGAAGGTCCCAAACTGGAATTTGAACAAGGAGTCAACCTCACACCCTACCAAGCACAAAATGAAATAGAACGTCCTCTGTAACAAACTCAGTACCTGCAGCTCTCCTTCACAGAATGAAGACGAGTGTACCAGCAGTCACCATAAAAAGGTAAAAATAAAAACTACTAAAATACAAAGCCAACCACAAAATGTCCATGGATACGCTTTTTTGTTTGAGTAGAGGGAAGAACATCAACACAATAATGGGTTACTTTGTGCTGGGAAAAAATAAGACAAACAGACAGAAACAGGGGGATAGTAAAGATGTAGGACCTAGAATGGCGCCCTCCAACCACCCGCACCATGGATATGCTTTCCCACCAGCTTTAATTGAGCTTTAAAAGGTCAGAATCAAATCCCAAAAAGCTCAGGTCAACAACGTCTCAAAAATGATTCAAGCAGAGCAATAGAAACTCTAAATACTTCAAAGGTAAACATAAAAACAAATGCACACGCAAGACTATTTACACATGTTCACAATTACATAACTTAACAGCCCATGTTTCTTATGATTTAATTTTCCTTAAAAGCAAGACTGTACCTGACTACTTCAGAATAAGAAGTTTATTTTTTTTAAATGATACAAAATTACAAAGAATCAAAAAGTCAATTTTTTTCTTACATTTACACATGTCCTGCATAGTAACTTGAGGTACACTACGCCAGGTAAATGAGACATGCATTACCACAACAATTACCAATTTTGAAACGTATGTAGTATGTACAGCAACTGACACATCACAATAGAAGATAAAACCTCAATGACTCTAAAAATATTGTTTAAAAAATAAAAAACATTAACAATAACAGATCTCAAAGGTAAGACACTCTCCCCCCCCCCCCCCCCTGCATTTGTCTGTCATCCACATTGAGTGCAAACTCGAGATACATCATCAAGGGGAGAAACTCATACTCACGGGTTGCCTCGCCACCCGCGTCTGAAACAGCAAAGAGGCGCGTTATGGGGGCACCGGGGCAACCCTCGTCGGCAGAGCATGGCTAGTACACACACACACAAACACAGACGCAAACACAAAGAAGCAAACAGGGCTAGTCCACCAATGCGAAAGGGCATCGAGTCAAAATACTTCTTCACTATTTCCGTGTGTATGTGTGTGTGCGTGCGTGTGTGTGTGTATGTGTGCTTGTTATAAAAAGTGCATCATGTGTGGTCATCAGGCATTTGTTCACATGTATTCATGTATATATACAAACAACTGAATCCTCTGCTTCAACAACACATCATCATACAAACATTAGAATTCAGTTGGAGCTTTCTGTATTTCTCGGAGCGTTGGAGGAGGGCTGGGGTGAGAGGGGGGGAGGGATGTCGTAAAAACAGCAGCAAATAATAACAGCCCCATTCTCCCCACCATAAAACAAACCCGACGTTCATAAACACCAAGACATTTGTTGGTGGTATACCATTCGGTGTCAAGAAAGTTCAGACATCCTAAAAAAAACCCAAGTTTCTTTCCTTTCATGTCAAATTTAAATGAAACAAATAAAAGTCCTCATTGAAAAAAACATTACAATAACGTACAGAATCCACTTCTAACTTTCCATAGTGCAGAGAACAGGCAGGGAAAAAACTGTCAAGAATAAAAAATTTAGGAGGCTCCATATGGGTTCAAACACCTCTTTCAACGACAGTGAACAGTGAGTCAATTAAGTAATGGAACGTAACATTTGAAATATTATAAAACAGGATTATTGTACAGAACGATGTTAAAGGTGATTAGAGGACAACTTTTGTTACTTTGACATTATCTTGTTCTCTGACAAGCCACTAAACCTTTGGCATAAAGTTTATAAAGGGATTCGTTTACCAAATAAAAGAAAAGAAAAACATCCTACAAAGAGCCTTTCTTCAAACAAAAGAATGAGCAAATAACTATTATATTTCATTCTCAGCACGGACACCATTTTTTCTTACACACCATTAGATGGTATTTTCTGAACTGAAAGAAAACACTTGCTGCTAATTAAAAGAGGAACAGACATGCTTACAACAAACTGTGAAACGATTGCATGTTAATCCTGCTTTTGCCAGAAAATTCTCTTCTCTACAGAACAAACAGTAGGGAAAGGTCATAACTTGATTCTCTAGTAGAAAAAAAGGAAACTAAGCATGCTCATACAGAGTAGCTTTTCTAAGAACTCGTACAAATCGATAAATTCTCCATACAAAATAATTTTCTACATATTTCTCTTACCAAGCTATTTGGAAGAAAAAAAAACCAACAGAGGCAAATGCACAGACACTGAGACCAAAATAACATAAAAAACCTGATAATAATTAAAATGAAAAGAAAAAATTATATTATAGTCCTTAACATGAGTATTGTTTTTTTAAATCAAGATTTAAAAACCAGCAGTGCTTCAACTTGGTCAATAAAACTATTTCTTTTCTGCTGACCTGTACACAAGAAAGTATTATCAGGCTGAAAGGGATCTTATAGCTTGAGGTACAGTTTTGGGTTAGAGTTTCACAGTGCTCTTGGCTGCATGAGGTCATATGAGCAAACAGGTCAGGTATAGTTGAAATTCGAAAATAAGCAGTACTAAACTTATCAATACTTACTGTCCTCCTCTCATAGATGGTCTCCTGTAAAAGAAAAGGAAATTAACTGTTAATCTGTAAGTAGTTTTTGTCTATAATTCAGTATTATGCAGACCTTTATCAAGGCACAATCGTTATAAAGCACGCACTAAAACATAAAAGGTTAAATTTTGACAACAATTAAGTTTACAACAAGCCCAATGCAGGCAGATCTGGTTGTGACGATACCGGCCAGTGCACACTGATTGAATTTACTTCTGCTTTGTTTCAATCAAATACACACCTAGTCCATTAGGACCTTATTCATTCCATGCGTAAATAAAAATAATGTTGACCAGTTTCCTCAAAATCAAACTGGAACCAATCTTGAACTACAAATTCAAATGTTTGTGCCAAACTTGTGGTTATAAATCCTGCCCTCCAAGAAAGAAACTCTGGCAGCCCTGAACTGTATGAAACCATTCAAACAGAGATTAGACAAAATTTTCTGCAATGTGCACAGGGCATTTAATTTTGGAAGGCGTTATTGGGAGTCGCTCCCTATGGGCATAATGTCAACCGGTTAGGAGCCGACTGCCCATTTAATCAGTTTTGGCATTATTGGGAGTCACAAAAACGCAATTGTTTTTTTACCTCGAAGGGTTTTTCGGGGTTCCTTCGCAACAATACAAAAAGCTACTTCGATTGGCTTTAAAAAAAGTAACTTCTGAGTCAAGTCTACCTCATTTGCATAAAAGGGAGCGTAGTTTGAGTTTGAATTGCAACCGTGGACAAGCACTGCTTCCTCTGTACCGGTCTACCTTTGTTTTGATTTGTTTTTTGTACGATCGTGTCGCGGTAAGGGATGAAGAGAAAAAAACAAATAACGATTTCATTTCGCACGTGTTTGTGACGGAAGAAAAAAAAAGCTGACCTTAATCAGGGGGGCAAGCCCCCTTCCCCTAAAAAAAAGAAAGACTATGACCGATCAGCCTCAGGGGGGCTTAACTGCCCCCCCACCCCCAACTACTCTTAAAGAAAAGAAAACTCACCCTAATCACACTCAAACTAATCACGCGATTATCACAAAAATTACCCCCCCACCCTCCCCAATGCACTGTCTCATAATAATAGGAAGGACTAAATATCCAACAAGCGACCACCTCAACAAACCCATTCTTACCAAATCCCTGCCCTTACTCCTACCCCTAAACAAACACAATAAAGAAGAGACCCAACCACTAAACCCTGACTCAACCCCTAACCTTAACCCCGGCCCTAAAAATGCGAAAACCACTGTAATTTTTTAAATTATATGTCGGATGTAATCTCTAACTCCTCCTAATAGCGTTCAGTGATTAATGGGAGTCGACTCCTCATAATGCCAAATGATTATAGGGTGTCGACTCCTAATAATCACTTTGTTTAAAATTGTTTAACATGCCACTGATGTGGGTTTACGGGGATTTCTACCACAAAAAAGGAAAGCATTTTAATATCTTATAAGTTAACTCTCGTCCTGCGTCTGTGCTGAGAGGTGTCAGCAACCGATTACGTCGGTCGTTCCTGGCAGGCCGCCGGGGTCACTCAGCGTATACTGTCGGTGAACAGCGAGCGCGCCTGGAAACGTGTTTTTGCCATGAACATGGAGGGAGTGTGTTAATCAATTATGAAAACAACGCTATATCTTTTATAGCTTTCTATTTATAAAGTGTTACGAACACATGAATAACCTAACCCCCTCTCATAGCTGATAAGACATTACGAGTAGTTACGCCCATTCGAAAAACCTTTTAGACACTCTTGTTGTTATAATGAATGATCTGGGTTTTGAAAGGGGATAATATAGGTCAATTTCAAAATGTTTTGCACTCAAATTGTTCTTTTTACCTGCACAATGGTATTCAAACTATCAAACAAGCTTATTTCTTTATCAGTATCATTTCAAATTTCATACAAGAATCAAAATCAAGCTCATTTGAAAGATTTTGTATAGAAAAATGGAAGTCTTGTTTCCTGACTATCCTTTCGAGCTCTTCAAGTCTAAGTGGGTCAATTTGTTCTAATTTCATTGGATGAACATCTAGAGCTACCAACTTGGCCTGGCGTCTTTTGAATGAAACGTATGTCTCTGTTATGAACCAACGCAGGCGGTTGTAGTTAGAAGTAGGCCACAAATGCACACAAACTCAAGCAGACTGACGCACACACACTTCAGCTGCACAAAAGCGGGTCCCAGAATGGAACGGAGATGATGCTCGGAGTGTGTGCGCTCAGCCAGGGGCCAGACTGACACGAGTCCAGAATGAAGAAGAGGTGCAGAAATAGGGTTATCGGACGACATAAACCCCGCCCCGCAGGACAAGGGTTTAATGATACACAGGACAAAATTTATATCAAAAGTGTTCAAAAAAATTATTTTTTTTAAATATCAAATTCAAAAGTCACTGACCTGTCATCCCAGTTATCGCGTCGACGGTCATCACTTCGTCTCTCATAATCATTTCTTTCCCGCCTGAATTTATCTCTACCTTTCTTGCGCTCAAATTCATCATCGCTGTCTCCCATCTTCAGCAAGAGTAAGAGTCAGAGGTCTGTTACCTGAAAAAGAAAGATGATTTAGATTACGACAGATCTTCAGTCACTAAGTAACCAAGACAAACACAAAGTCTGACGTGTATACTTTAATGAATTTATGGTACAAGGGACTGTAGATCTAGCTAGAGATCTAGATCTAGAATCTAGGGTCATCTTGTAGTTCCGTTCGTTAAAGTCTACAATCCATTTGTTTGCATCCAGACAAGAAATCCCGAAGTCTTGATGACCAAATCAAATACTATTTGAAATAGGCTACACAAAGAGCAGGGATGCAACCTAAAGTTCTGCAAAACATCAAATTACGATAAAATTCAGGGGGGTGGGGGGGATGGGGGTTCAGGCTTCAAGCCCCCCTGAAACCCCCAGGCCCTACTCTTGACTTTAAAGAACGAAACTATAAAATCGCCGAACCTAGATCTAGAAATCTAATCTAGTATACACTCCCATTTTAGATCTCTAGATATTCTAGATCATGTTCTAGATCTACAGACCCGGTAACCGGGAACAAAGTCACGAAGAAAACAGACCTGGTAGGAAATCTTCTAACTAAGACCTTTTCGGCACTACTTGGATATATGGTGGTCCCGACTTTTGTGACAGGGCTGGAAATATAACCCACAGAAAATCTAGAATCTAGTTTTGACCCCAACGACGATTACTTCTGGTTTTAAGTCTAAAACGATTACTTTTTGATTCGAGTGCCGATATGGAGAGATAGCCTTTCAAACCTAATTAAATTGCACATCAAATCGTGGTCAAATTCAGAGGGGGGGCATGCCCCCCTGAAACCCCTTGGGGTTTTTTTTTAAGTCAGGGGGGCAACCCTCCTTGCCTTGTGAAAAAAAAGTGAAATTTTTGTTCATTTTGTAGGCTGAATCTAGATTTAGATCTAGGCTACAGGTAAAACATAAAAACATTGATACCGACTATTTAAATCAGTATCGATATTTCAGTAGGCCTACACAAAAGTCGGGACCACCATCCAAGTAGTGCCCCCTTTATGGCTTGCTGCCAACTGTGACTGCTGCTCTCCCACTTTGAGTTTAGGCTACATCAATTTAAGATTCTAATTTGGTCAGATTGAAGAATACCGGACCAGCGGACTGGGACTACTTTTGCCTCTATAGATGTCTCAACCGCTGGTATTTTAGGAGTTCAGCACAGCTAAAAGAGCGGTTAATGGCTTTTTTAAAAATCGTAATGCTATTTTTATAATGTATGGACCATGATGGAAGGGAAATTGAGATGAAAAACAATTACAAAAAATAATTTTTAATGGAATTTAGCAGAGGAACTAATTTTTGTGTAGTCTACAGCATCCTTCTCTCAACCGTACCGTGGTCCAGGATACTTCATTTAGACAACAATGTAGGCCTACCTAGTCCGGGAAACTTCACCTAAGGCTAAACCAAGAGCGTGCATTCACGGCGAAACATTCCGGACCACAGCGAAGCATGCCGGACCACGGATCATGTGCCAGCAGGGCGGGGCCTAGAGAACACAGCGCGTGGAACATCGCGAGACCGAGCGTGCGAGCCACCGCCTCTCCCTTCCCCGCGAAGTCAGGCATTCTTCGTAAGTGCATCGTGAGATAACATCAATTGTAATATCTCTCACAATGAAGAATCTCGGACAGTTGTCAGGGGGGAAACCCCCCTGAACCCCCCAAACAACTTCCCTCTTCTTACAACCGGAATGAATAATTTCGGACCGGTAGGCCTATAATATATGTTCATCACTCAAAATTAGTGGTTTGTCAGGGCTCCCCCCCCCCCTTCCAAATTCCAAGATGTGTGTGAATGAAGAATGTTGGACATCCAATGCTAGCCTTCCTCCTCTCGCGAATTGAAGTTGAAGCGCGCGTGCGGCAGAGCGGTGTTGTTATGAAAGTAATCTAGCTCACGCAAGGCGCAATAATACAAGTGGTCCGGTATTGTTCAATCTTCCATCTAATTTTAACTAAAACAAAGATAAAAACAAACGTTTTCAAGATTTAGAGAAGCGGGTGCAGTTGGCAGTTGCCGAAGCCGAAGCCAGGTAGCCTACACAAGGCAAGGCCAACACGGCTAGCTCGGCAAATGCCTACTCCAGTCAACGAATCTAGACTCTAGACGTATGTTAGCTAGCATCGATCACAGACATAGCCATAGGGAGCTACGCAACAGCAAAGCCAGTTCATTCCTCACCTAAGGCCTCCGAACATGCACTGCCAAACTTGCAAGGAATCGCTTTCACTTTCACTTTCTTAAAAATATTTAGCTCGCCGGTATTCTCTCGCGTTGATTTTCTTTCCTTTCTCTCAAACAGGAAGTCACTTCTTCCGCCGATTGTTCGTAGATGGCGCTTCAGTCGTGTATTGAAAAATTAATTTACCATCAAAATACCTCTTTGTAGCTCAGACCCCGTAAATCTATTAATTTTTTAACCCAACATCATAATTTGAACAAACTTGAAAACTTTGTCCTCGCTTCTAGTCAGCTGTACGTAACAAAATATAAGATAGGGGTGATCATAAAATAGAGTAGTCCTAACAGGCATTATAATCTCTCTTACTTCTTTGTCTTCCATGCCAGGGTGTTTTCAATCTTTACGTCAAAATGTAAACATTTATTATAATATTATGTACAAATTATGCATAATTTTGTTTCGTGATGAGTAGGCCCTAGCCTACATCATACATGTCGACAAGAACGTTAGTACGTTGTACATTTTTTTACAATTGGACATGAATCCGACAATAGTGCCATGGTTTTCGTTTTGTTTTGTTATGTTTTTGTTTTGTTTTTAGTCTTTCCGTTCCGTAAGCGTATCCCTGTGTGTGTGCGGGTGGGAGTGTGTGTGTGTGTGGGG